TGCTAACATTATGAGAAGACAGCTATGAAATGTTGCATATTCTAATTCATAGTTCTAAAGTTCTGAATTTCTGCTTATTGAATATCTTCTATTACCTAAACCATAAGTTGAATATCCATTTGATCCGCTGCTGATTCCTGTTTGCTCTTTCAGGAGAATTACTATTGGTTAGATAGAATATTGCGTAGCTACCAGTCACGGATCTATTCTGGTGACGTTGGCAATTCCTTTGAGGTTAGTTTTTAGTTCAGTGCTTGTACAATTCTTTAAAAGCAGTCTGCTCCTCTTATTTAAAAACAAATGCAGTCTGTTCCTTGTTCCTCATGCATGTCGAACTTATTCCATTATATGTCATCTAACGCCTATCTGAAATAAAAAAAAACGCTAGTCTTTTTGGGATTGTAGACTAGTGCGCCGGATATGCACAAACAATTGTAAATCGAGGTTTCCTCAAAAAATTTGGTTCCACTTGGTGGTATATGTGCTATACGCATCTAAAGAGTTTGACCTAACATGCTTATGAATATTCTCTAGTTTGACTCCGTTTTATTTTTGTGCTCCCTGGTTTTTCCTTCTTCTGTGATAAAAGGGGAAGAGCGAATATGCCAAAGTACCTTTTTTATATCACCGTGGTGTCCAGGCCTGCGTGTGGCGCACCTCGACTTATTCCATGGGGTACCTGATACCTCCCACCAGCACAGGTACCGGGTAACTTTGTCCACCAAGACTTGGACAGATGAGAAGAAATCACCTAGTATTTTGCCTCCGCTGGGATGAGATTTGAACTTGAGACCCCATGGTTCTCAACCCACTTCATTGATCACTAGGCCACACCCTTGTGTGCAATATGCCAAAGTACCTTGTCCAAAAAAAAAAAAAGAATATGTCAAAGTCAAAGATAAGGAGCTGTTTGGAAATTTTACATCCAACAAAGTAAATGTTATACTTTCTGTAGAAGCTCCCTTTACTTCTCTGCCAAAGTCAGACTGCATTTGCTATATAGTTCTTCCATGGAACTGTAATTTCAATTATGTATAGAGATCCTATGGGACGACGTCTTTCTAATTTGCTTAACGCTCTTATGCAGGTCCAAGATGCTGCACGGTCCAAAGTGAGAAGTATCTTGACACCATTAACTGCCCAACTAGCCTTGCAAAGAATTCTGCCATTTCCTTGTAAAAAGCAGTATACTGTAGTAATTTTGATGCCTCAGGCATCACGTATAAAAAAATTGAAGTCATTGATGCAGTCAGTATCCAAGAGTTATTCAAGAGATGCAAAGGTTAGTCTCATGTAGTTCTCATCTTTCATCTTCCGGCATCATGATCTAATGGATGTGGATCTTTATATTTGCTTCCCTCTTCAAATGACCCTTGCCACGAAAAGAAAGAAGTCAAGAATCTAATTCCCCCCCGCGCCGTTAATCTTTTGTGTCTATTCCCGTGTAACACTGACAGTCCACGTACGTTGTTTCAGTGTCCGGGCATTGTACTCTATGCTTGCACAATATTCCAGTAGTATGGATTAATAAACATAAACTTGTTGTAGTGTCTTTGTCTAATATATTCAAGTTACGTGCAATCTAAATCCATGTCTAGTAGCACTGAGATTGTTAAGCATGCATGAATATAAAATTGACTCCTAGATTTCTTGCCTTGTATAGCCTGACAGTCTTCTCAATGTGTGCTCTATACATCCATGAGCGTTCATCCTTGTAACTTCATTGTTCACTCTCCTTTTTATATACTGCTACTTTATGTCTTTCCTACTATTTCAGATTTTGGCTGGAATTGCTGGTGTAACAGTTTTGTCCCTCAGTTTATGGAAATACTCCCGAAGTACACTAAAATCGTAGTAGAGATCTTTGCTGAAAATAGAACTTGGAGGGAACTGTTGAACAAGGGCTCCACTTATCCAACCCAACAATAGTACAGTCAAATGGATTGCATGAGAGATGTCATTGAATTCTTTGCCAAAAGATCTGATCGTACTCAGCTCTGGCCTTCTTGTACCGTAGATCGATGTGCCATTATTATCGGCGAGTGTTACAAATATTAGGTTTTGCCAAGACTAATAAGCTTAGAAAGGTTGTGCTTGTACTAATGTATAATAACATTAGGTTGTGCCAAGACTAATAAGCTTAGAAAATTAATGATTCATTGTGCCTGTACTAATGTATGAATTAAAGTATCTAAAGAAAGTATTTTCTTGGGGTTTGATCCTTACCTTATTACTGAGAAAGTATAAGTTTATTTTTCCTCCTTGGGCTACGTGCTATTTTTCGGCTCTTTGGTTTGGAGATCCCCATTTTCGTTCTTCCTTCAATCGTTGCTTTGGTAGCAATGGATTTTTTACTTGTGGGATCCCACAGGACAACCTGCAGCAAAGCTTTTGCTAAATTTTGATGGGGAATAATCCAAGAGTTTAACTACTATACAGAGTAGGGTAAAAATTATTTTTGTACTATCACGTCAACTAAATGGTAAATATATGAAACCATTCATAATAAGTAAAATTGGTTACCTAGAAAAACAAAGGGAGTAATTTGCACAACCTTGTCACAATATACAAATAGTACAGAAGTTCTTTACAATGTTTGTGCATGTATAACAAATTCATAATTCTTTGGAATGGTTACTGATGTTTCAAGTTAACATATTCAGTTAATTTGAGATTGAGTTATAGTTATTTTTGTTGCTTAAAGAATAATCCAAAGGCTAAACGGATGATATTAAGGAAAATGAGGGTCTGGGTTAGTGACATACAGGCCAGATGTTAATGGAAATGGGGTTTGGTTAGACATTAATTTGCAATTTTGTGTAACGATCCGATCGGTCGTTTTGCTTTTTAGATCCCCGTTCCCCTAATTAAGACTTCATGTTTTTGCCTTTACTGTTTTATGACTTGCGGGAATGGTTGGTTCGGGTTTGGAAGGGTTCGGTTTGAAATCGGAACACTTAGTTCCTTAATAGTGGCCTATAATGGTCAAGTTTGACTTGAGTCAATGTTTTGAGTAAACGACCTTTGAACCGGGATTTGATGGTCCCAGTAGGTTCGTATGATGACTTTGGACTTGGGCGTGTGTCCGGATCAAGTTTTAGATGACCCGGGAGCGTTTCGACGCTTAATATTGAAAGTTGGCGCGTTGAAGTTTTTTCAAGTTCTTTAAGTTTGGTTTGGAGTAAACTTTGGTGTTATCAGGGTCGGATTTCGATCCCGGAAGCGGGAATAAGTCTGTTATGTCATTTATGACTTGTACGCAAAATTTAGTGTCATTCCGAGTTGATTTGGATTGAATCGGACGCGCGGAGGTATTTCTAGAAGTTCTTGAGCTTCATGCTTGAAGTCATGCGTTTTGGCGTCCGATTCGTGACTCTAGATGTTATTTCGGTATTTTGATCGAGCGAGCGAGTTCATATGAAGTTTTTAGACTTGTGTGGATGTTTGGTGTGGAGCCCCGTCGGCTCGGGTGAGTTTTGAATGCGTTCGGAGGGTTGGAGGAACTTTTAGTTTTCTGATATCTGGTTTGGTGCTGCATGTCTCGCAAATGCGAGGTTTTGTTCACATTTGCGAGGAGGGATTCATATTTGCGAGATTGGGAAAAACACCGAGGGGTTCGCATTTGCGAACATTTTTGCCGCTTTTGCGAGTTGCCCATCTTCTCATGTGCGAAGTTTTTGGTCGCAATTGCGACCTTTGCAGAGATGGCCCGTCTTCGCATTCGCGATGCTTTTGTTGCATTTGCGAACAAGATGTCGCAAATGCGACATCTGCGACTGGTGCCGAGGTTTTTTTTTAATTACGGGACTTAGTTTCATTTCCCTCATTTGCCATTTGGTCCTAGGCAATTTTGAGAGTATTTTTTGGGGAATTTCATCAACATCAAGAGGTAAGTAATCCCTATCAATTCTTTAGTTAAATACGCGAATTATAGGTAGATTAAACATGAAAAAATTTATGAAATTAGTGGAATTTTGTGAAGAAACTAGGGTTTAGGTAAAATTGGGATTTGATCATGATTTTGGTGGTGGAAATTGGAACAAAATTATATATTTGAGTTCGGGAGGTCATGGGTAACTTATGCATATTCCTTCTCTTACACCGTATGTCTCTCTAAATCTTTCGAAGAACCATTCCCAAGATACATCGTTCTCTGAATCAACAATAGAGTATGCAAGCGGGAAAATTTTACCTGCGTCCATACATGTGCTTTATAAGCACACATCAAATATGTGAAACAATATATATGTTATATTATTACCAATAAGTATATTGTATTGATACTGAAGTGAAAGACCAACCACCAATACAAATTGTTGTAGATTTATTTAGTAGCGAGCACAATAGAGCCGACAAACAGAATACTACAGAGAGAGAGATTGCAATAGCTCCACCAGACTCCAACAGTTACTCAGAAAAAGACAACTCAAAAATACATAGTGAAGATGTAATTGAGGAAAGTGATGAATGGATGTCAGATGATAGAGGGAGAAGTAGGCAAAGAAAAAAAGGAAGAAAATCCAGAGAAAAATGTACACCTTCTCACAGAGGGAAGGAACAAAAACTAGTTAATCAAGCACTAGTTTTCCATGATTAATGCAATATTCTGGAATATTAAGGGTGTGAGGTCTAAAAAGGCCATACACAAATTGAAAAATCTCATCAACAAAAATAATAATGACTTTGTTGCTATTTTTGAACCCTTCATTAGTAGTAACAAGATAGAAGGCTATAAAAGGTTTTGGGGTTTTCAACATTGCTTGGCTAATGTCAATGGCCAAATTTGATATTTTTGGAATGGTCAAGCAGTGGTGGTTGCCAATAAAGAACAACAAATTACTCTGAGTAGTAATCAATATGGTAACAATGAAGAGATTCATGTTACTGCAATTTATGCTAAGTGTACTTTCACAGGGAGGAAAGACCTCTGGACAAGTATAGAAGATATAAGTTGTGGTATTCATGGTCCATGGTGTATTGGAGGTGACTTCAACGTTATTATGGATCCAGAAGAGAAGATTGGAGGGAGACCTCATAGAGCTCACAAAAGCTTTAATTTTATCACTACAATGGAATCTTGTGGTCTCACTGATATAGGTTATGTAGGGGCTAAATATACTTGGTGCAATAATAGGAGACCAAGGAAGAGAATATGGAAAAGGCTAGACAGAATTCTTGTTAATGACCAATGGTCACAGAAATTTCAGCACAACTATGTAAGACACTTAATGAGGACAGGTTCTGATCATAGGCCTTTACTCATGAAGTGTCATAATGAGCAACAAAAGGTGATAAAATATTTTAGATTTCTAAATTTCTGGACACAACAATCAGATTTTTTGAATGTGGTACAGAGCTCTTGGAGTATGCAGGTTAGTGGTAATGCAATGTGGAGATTGAAGAGTAAGTTGCAAACATTGAGCAGGAAACTTGGTCAGTGGTCTAGAGAAAGCATTGGAGACATATATGAACAATTAAATAGTTGGGAATCTAAGGTACAACAACTGGAAGAGCTAGATCTCCAACAAAATACAGAAGATAGCAGAGAAGAGCTGAATAAAGCTCATGCAGAATATGTGAAATGGATGGGATTACAGAAAACTTTGCTCAAACAAAAATCTCAGGTGAAGTAGTTTCAGGAAGGGGACTATAACAGTATATATTTTCACAGTGTTCTAAGAGATAAAAGAAGAAGATTGCACTTGCACAGAATCAAGAACCACAGAAACAGGTGGGTTCAGGGAGACGATAGGATTAATAAAGCTGTTGTGAGACACTTTGAAAAACTTTTCAATATTCAGGCCACTATTACGGATCATTCACTTTTGGATTGCATTCCTAGAATTATTTCTGTAGAAGATAATGAGCTATTAACATCTATTCCTAGTATCATTGAAGTTAGAGAAGCAATTTTTAAGCTTAATGCTTACAGTGCTGCCGGCCTTGATAGTTTTAATTGGGTATTTTTTCAAAAATGTTGGGAGATCATCAAGGAGGATATAATGGACTTTGTTCGCGAGTTCTTCAATGGCAAGAATTTAACCAAGTTTTATTCTCATACATGCTTGGTACTTATACCCAACGTAGAATCTCCTTCAAACTTTTCAGAATTAAGGCCTATCAGTCTAACAAATTTTACGACTAAGATCATTTCAAAGATCTTGGCTGAAAGGTTAAACCATATTTTGTCTAAGTTGATATCTGACAATCAAAGTGGCTTTATGAAGGGCAGATTAATTACTGAAAATGTGATGTTAGCTCAAGAAATTATTCAGGGAATCAGCAAAGAGAACAGAGGAGGCAATATCGTCATTAAACTTGACATGGAAAAAGCTTATGATAGAATGTCTTGGTCTTTTATTCTTCAGTTCTCGAAAATTTCCAGAATCTGGGCACGTGGGCCCGAGGGTAAATTTTAGGAATCTTCCAAATTAGATTGGATAATTACTCTAATAGCTAAATTATGAAATTTTTAGCATATATTTATTAGTTTATACGCCTTTTGGTTAGTTTCGGAGTCCTCTGTGTCGTTTGAAGAGTTTTAGTGAGGTTGAAGAGCCAGATTAAGGGAATCGAGGTAAGTCTCTTGCCTAACCTTGTAAGATGGAATTTATCCCATAGGTATTTTAAATTATTATTTGCTACTAATTGTGAGTGCTACGTACACACGAAGTGACGAGAGTCCGTGCGTAGCTACAAATCATACTTATGTCCGGGTAGTTTTAGGACTCTATCATATACTACTTATATTAATTGCACTCTACTTGTTAATTTAAGTGCTTAAATCATATTGAAATTTGATAAAGAATTCGTAAAGACCGAACTTCACTTGCTTTGAGTTTTGGCAGATTACTTGACTGGTAGTAGAAATTGTGCCTCCTTGTATATTAGTCTTGTAGTAGCCGTTAAATCAAAATTCGTAAAGTATTCTCTCTTCTTGTGGAACGGGCCGAACGCCTCTACAGTATAATAGATCAATCTATGGTTCGCGCCGGTCGGCTCTCGGCAGTATACACATTATTCTGGATCGGACCGTACGACCTCGACATAAATCGTGTGTGATAATACTCGAGGTCCGATTACACTTGATGTTACTTTCATGACTTGAGAAATGATAAAACTTGATGGCCCATATTTGTTGAAGTTAGTATGTGCTAATTGGATATTTAAAAAATGACTTCTAGTTAAATAATCACTTGTTTACTATTCATTATTGTGTTATTATTATTGATGTATTCCATGCCTATTTAGAATGTATGTACTTCATTTATTGGTCCATAGTAAGTGTCGATGTCGACCCCTCGTCACTACTTTTTCGAGGTTAGACTAGATACTTACTAGGTACATATTGTTTATGTACTCACGCTTAGGGGTGAGCATATTTCGGTCTGAACCGAAGAAACCGAACGAATAGAAAATATTTTTATTTCGATTTCGTTTATTCGATTTTTTCGGTCAGTTTCAATTTAAACTTTTAAAATTTTAGTTTTTCGGTTTGGTTTCGGTTATTAATTTATTTGGTTCGGTTAACCGAAAAATCGAATTATTAGCATATAAATTCTTTAAGTTATATATAGGTTAAGCCCATAGGTAATAATATAGACCCAATTTTGAAGTCCATCAAAGACCCAATCCAAATCAGTAACCCAATCGTCTATTCTTAGTTTCTCATTCATTAAGACTTTTAACTCTAACAAACTTACCAGTTTATTCTAACTTACCGAAATTTTGAAAGAAAACCAACAAATTCGTCAGTCCAATTATTACATAGAAAGAGCCCAATATGATAATGTTCAAACCGAAAACTGATTAGAAATAAACCAAACCAAAATTATAAAACCGAACTGAACCGAACTTATTTCAGTTCGGTTTAGGTTACTACTTTTACAAAATCGAAAACTAAATAACCGAACCGAAATTCTTCAAACTGAACTGAACTGACTGAACGTCCACCCCTACTCACGCTACACTTCTACACTAATCGTGCAGGATCTGAGACAGGTGCATCTGGTGGTCATTGAGGCGCATTCTCCGTTACCCCGAGGCATAGTAGTTAGCTGTTTTCCGTGTCCGTTCTGCAGCACTCCGCAGTCTCTCTTTTGTATTTATTTTCTATCTATCTTATCCCATACAGTAGTATAGGAGATTTTGTATATTCTACTAGTTACCCATATACTTGTGACACCGGGGGTTGGGAATATGCTAGTACACACTTGATGGTTTTGAGTATTAAATTCACTGTATTTACTCTTTCGTTGGTTTATGCTTTACTTTACCATAATTTTCTACTGATCATTCTCTTAATAAATAAAAGGGATAATACATAAGATGCATCATGTACTTGTCCGGAAACGTCAGTTTCACACTTAACCTTTACAGACGTCCTATTATCACTCTATCCTTGTCTAAAGTGAATTTAATACCACTCCAAAAGTTGATGTGACAAAAATAAAAAAGAAAGAAAAAATTAGGTGCCTATTATCAAATTTAAAGAAAAAAATATGATTTTTCTAGGGCAAAAGCAGATTTTCTTCCCCCCCCCCNTCTCCATTTTCCTTTCTTCTTCATCTTTACAACCATTTCTTCATATAAGTGTATCCAAACACCCTCACAGTTAAGACACGCCTTATTAATAACCATGAAACATTCCTAAAGTTTAAGAATGCCTTGACAGATCCAAGAATTGCTTGAACGTGTGGAGAAAAAATCTTGAGTTTAAGAATGTTCTGATATTTCAGAGAGTTGCTCCAACTGACACAATATATATTGTCACATCATTTTTGAAAAGGATTCAATTAAGATGCAAAACATAGTGAAAACCCAATATTAAGCAAATTTCACCAACTAGATTATTAAAGTATCAATTATTATGCCTAAAAATTGGTGCCTAAAAACGCACACTCCACCGATGAAGTTGGTGGTGGCGTTTTGGTTGCTTATCTTGAAATACTTTGTGCAGTGTGGAATTTGATCCAAGTGATTTGGTCCAAATACCACTAATACTAAATTCGATGTTAATTTCATAATGATTGAACTTGTAAACTAAAAGAAATTAAAACAAATGAAACAAGCATCAAGCCGCAAGAAACTCGTTGGTAATGGAGGTTTTGGTGGTAGCTATGGAAGAAAAAAGGAAAAATATGTGAATGAAAAAGGAAAAAGAAAAAATAATAAAAATAATAATTTCTTGTATTTCTGACATGGCACTAACGTGGCATGTGCGCGTGGAACACCTCACACCATGAAAGTGGTATTATGTTTCACAATGTGGTACTTAATTCACTTTGGACAAGGATAAGGTGGTAATAGGAAGCTCGTGAAGGTTAGATGTGGAACTGACTTTTTCGGACAAGTACAGAGTGCATCTTATGTATTATCCCTAAATAAAAATCAACTACTTTGAAATTATTAAAAGGAACAAATACACGACTAGTTTACCGTTGGCTTATCTAGCGACGACGTTGGGCACCATCACGGTCTATAGGGGGAAATTGGATTGTGACATTTAGTCCATTAGTTATTAATAAAATTTATTTTTGGTTCTCATGATATTTATCTAAATATATTTCACCTTCACATTTTTAAGGGTGAATGACACAAACGAGATACTTTTGTGGCATTGTTGATTTTTTGGGGGATCTTTGGCAAATATCAAGGCAGTGGAAACTATTTATTCTCCCCAGTCCATGTATTTGCCCCTACCCATTTCTTTTAAATATCCAGTCAAAGCCAACCAAATGAAGTCAAACTAAGCTACTAAATCATGCCAAGCCAAGCCAATTTAAGCCAAGTCAAGCTAAGCCAAATGGGTAATGGGTGGGTAGGTATGGGTAATTAGTTTTTAATTGGGTAAATATATATTGTAAATAATTTTCAAATGGGTAGGAAAGGATAATTATTTTAAGCTCAATTTGATCCCAGCAATAAAAGATTTAAAAATATAGCACGGTGCCAGAATTTTAAAATACGCTCCTAACAGTCATCAGAATTTCTAGTCAAATCCCGGTGATCACCATAACACACAAAATCCTGATGGATCACCAAAATTTTTCAGCATTGTGGCTGAAATTTTTGGTGATAATTAGAATTTCAGGTGTTTCAAAATTCTGGTCCTGAGATTCAAAATTTTAGTGTCGGGCTATTTCTCAAAACTTTTCTTAACAGAATCAAAATATAAATGATGATTATGAAAAAATCCATCCAGCATAATTTTTTATATTTTGAAGACGTACAAACTTAGATTATCCATTAACATATTCCTAAAGGAATTCACAAGTTGCTCGACATCAAAGGCATTTTTACAGATATTCACTTTTGGGGCAGCCATTGAAATTATATCCGCATTGCATAAAATTTGTCCACTGGAATTTAAGTAGTTCTATCTATACAATACAACATCATAAGTCAAATCTTAAGTTCTTTTATCTTTCAAACGCAACTTCGGAAAATTCGAATCTTAAATAGTTATATCTCTTCAATGCAACTTCATAGTTAAATCTTATGTTCTTTTATCTTTCAAATGCAACTTGAAAATTCGAATCTTAAGCAATTATATCTCTTTAATGCAACTTCAGAAATCAAATCTTAAGTTCTTTATCTTTCAAATGCAACTTCAGAAAATTCGAATCTTAAGTTCTGAAAAATAAACTTGATTTTCTAATTTCAATAATCCAATACAACAATTTAACGCCCAAATCTACTCTAAATGAGCACAAATTTAAACAATAACTTTCAAATATCATAAAGAACAAACCTCGGTAATCAAAATTTCAAGCGATAACAAATCTAACAAACCCATTATGCAACTAAGAGAAAGAACAAGAAACCCTAAGCAAAACCTACAATGGCATTTTGCAACAAAGAAAGCAGCAACGAAACTCCTAGATAAAGGTGACATGAATACAGTGAAAAGAAAACAGCAATGAAGAAAAAGAGAAAGGCATGGGTATTTCAAGTTACTCAAAAATTAGATACATTTGTTAATTTTATTTTTAAAAAGTATGTACATATTAAATGAGGGTAAGGGTGTCAAGTGGACCGGTCCCGGGCCTAAACAGGCTAAGTGGGCCGATCCAAATGGTCCTGGTCCCGGGTCGGGCCCAAATTAAACGGACCCGGGCTAAACGGTCTTTTTGTAGGGACCGGCCCGGGATCGGGACTGGGACCGTTTGGTCCTGGGCTAAACGGTCCCGGCCCGCGGGCTAAATGGGCTAAGTGGGCCCAACGAATTTTTTTTAAAAAAAATTAAATAGATATTAGAGACAAAAGGATGTTAAAAAAAATATCTAAAGCAATGCTTTGTAAATTTTATTATANCCGTTGGGACCGTTTGGCCCGCTAAGGGACCGATCCGGTCCCGGGCCTGGCGGGCCCAAATCATAGGACCGACCCACGAGACCGACCCAGACCCACTAAAACCGGGCCAAACAGTCCTGGCCCGTTTGGCCCGAGGTCCCGGGCCTGGACCGGCCCACTTGTTACTCTTAAATGAGGGTGACCAAATAGTGCGCCTTGTGAAATTGGATATCATAACAACATTACGCTGCAATTCAAATTTTAAGCCCAGA